ATGCGTCCTGTATAGATCTACAAGGTGTGCCTTATACGTTTTGTGATATAATCAATAGTTTGGAAGATAATCGAACGAAACCGATTTTATGAGTATTTAGATCGTCGTTTGAATGTTTAAGAGTCTGGGGCCACGATTTCCCGTTACCCTATAGAGCTTAAATTTTGCACAGATTATTTTTTTATTAATTGGAACTATTCTGCGGGGTGCCGCGAGAAAAATTTTGAAAAAAATTTGGATCAAGACTAAATAAGAGCCACCCTAATGTACGTAACAATGTACGTTACATATGCATGTAATGTGATAATCAAATACTTTTGGGAATTGAAGCAACCTTACGACAAAATAATCTTCAAATTTCTTACTTCTTATTACTTTTTATTCATATTATGCATTTTGATGAACATTTTTTTATATACCGCATACAAAAATATCGCATGAAAAAGGACCGCATAAAAACAGGTTGGAGTCTATTTGAAACTCTGAACGACGATTGATTGTATTGAATAATTGAATGACGATTGCCCATTCGCGGCCCAGTTTATAAAGTCGAGACACGGAAGTGAGTCTTTCACAGAGGGGGCCGGCCAATCCTCGTGTTCGCATACCCATTGGCCAGGTTTACGCGTCTCCTCCAGCTCCGTGGACAGTCAGGAAGCCCATGGTTCATTCAACCGGAAGCGACGCTTACGGCGGTTTGCGGTCACCGGTTGCCTGCCGACTTCGTGACCATCGTTCGACACGTGATCGACAATACGAACCATGATGACACGTTTCACCGTGTTCCTCTTCAGCACGGCATCGTAATCCCCTCGTTAATGATTTTTGTAGCCAGAGTCCTCCTGCACAATTAAACTAATAGTATTAGTAAAATTTCACAACTCATAACCCACAAGCTACCAGTCCTAATAGTCTGAGAGCCAGTGAATTTTTTTCTTACGTCATTTGATTACAGCTGAAAATTTCTGAGGCTTTAGTTAATTTGCAAGGAAACAATCTCTGACACACAATCAGTTCTCTTCGCCAAGATTTACAGATATTTTTAAATACGCATGGTTTAAGAGTGGTTATATAGAAAACAGACCCCCTCATTTTGACAATCCAGTAGAGTTTTGTTTCGGTGAAAATTTAGCACCAACATGTGACATTTGTGGAAATGCTGCCATTATCACTTGCGCGTGGTGTAAGAAATCATTTTGCTTTCGGCATTTCTTTACGGAATACCATTTCTTGAGAAAGTTATGTTCCGTAAATTCACGGTCTCCATACCATTTATATTGCATTTCTTGTATCATAATTGGGATAAATAATTCATTAACGAAAAGTACACAAGCCCCATTCGAAATGAAACGATATCAATTATTAAATTTGACGAAATCATCTTTCTCCGATAGCGATCATATATATAAAAGTCAAGAAAATGGTAGCCTTCTCGAATTTAATGTTTAGTCCTTCTCTAATTTTTATATCAATTTTCTTATTAACGGATATTAATTTCCAAGCAACAAATTACTTCCTAACAATATCATACTGCAATGCATACTAATATAATTAATATTGCTATTGCAAATTTTAGATGATCTTGTTATGATTAATAAACGCGTACCTCATAATCATAGCCGCCCGTATGCCTATACATGTATATCTCGTGCGGCCGCAGCCTGGCGTATTCGCGCGGTCTGCGTATTATATGAAAATTTACAAAACTGTAGAAGACAAATCTATCATATTATATATCAATGGATTCAGACAACAATTTCGGTTCTTTTTAGTCATTATGTAAATTTTGGTATCACTTAAAATAATGTAACAATAAATTGTTTTGTTATAAACAAATTACTTTTTACAAAATCTGTGACCACTTTTTGTTTTACCTCAAGAAACCATGAAACTTTTCCCTAAGAAGTTTTCTTATATCTGTGATAGTTTTCGAGATATCATTTTTCTGCTGAAACTTCTAGTGGTGATTTCACCCCCTAAACTTGCGATTGGGCAGCTATAAAAAAATACGTGTCCCTTATTTTCACCTGCTTAATATATTCACTTAGTTTCATCAAAATCGGAGATGGACAGTTCGGTATATTCCCTTGTTAGTCAGAAATGAGAAAATCGTAATCTGGCAGCTTGGACACGCTATGTTTGGCGACATTATAGTGTCAAAGTTGTCAAAAAATTACAATACCCTTACGTCATTTGATACGGCTGAAAATTATTTTGGTAATAGTTTAAGTAGTAAAAAGTGGTAAAACATTTGTCTGGCTGCTCACCCACCCAGGTAAAGTTGTCTGGCAAAGGGTTAAAGTTGTCAAAATATCACAATACTCTTACGTCATTTGATTACGGTCTAAAAGACTTCGCGGTTCACGAAAATCTCGTCGTAAATGTTGCGGGGTCTTACGCATAAATATCGTATATATATATGTAATCCAAAATTCGAGTCTAAAAGTAATGGGAGACACGCCTGTTTTTCCAAGGAAATCAGTTTTCCAAGAAAATGCACATATAACTCGCTGGAGATTATGTATTATAGCTAAAATGTACATAAAAACTTCAATATCTCGAACTATAAGAAAGTGTTACGTTTGGTATTGATTCTCAAATTTTATATTGGTGATGTAGAATTTTCTCTTTCAGTATCATCTAAACAAGAAATACACATTATGTTTGCTTCCCTGCATACAAAACTTTTACATGCCTCGCATTTCATTGATGAGTAATTAGAGTTGGGTATTATTCGAACAATTTTTAATAAACATTCATGTTAGATCATTAGATGAATGTAAATTCTTTTTAGTCTTCATGGAATAATGGACTTCGACTCAAACATCGTACATTAGAAATTCACTTCTATGTTGAATGAAAACTCCGATATAATTTAGTTAAAATCTCGAATTTATTTTTCATATTTTTTACAAAAATTATGTTTCATGCAATTTTTCTAATCTTCTCTTCCTAAGTATCGTTAATATATTATCTCCAGATAGAAAGAGAGAGAGAGGGGGGAAAGGGAGAGGGCGAGAGGGAGAGGGAGAGGGAGAGAGGGAGTGAGAGTAACGATGCGTCGCTACATCTAATGCAAGACAATTTTTCACAAAACAACGGAATATGTAAATTTCGAATTTCCATATTGGTTCCAAGAATCGTTGAAATCCAATTTCTGTGTCACCCTTTACAAACACTAAGGTTTATACGATGCGTTCTTCGCTACTGTGGAGAACGGACGGAACGATAACAACCCGAAACCAAACTACACAATAATAAATCTACTAATTGCTTGGGTCACTGTCTGTATACCTTGTAGATAAGTTGAAATTTATTCTGGAAAGACATTGGGAAGCTATAAATGTTCCATGATCGTACCATAAACCAACTGCAGAATATACACAGCATGATTTCATTTTCGTTCAATTCAGACACACTTCCAAATTATAATTTAAATCTGAACAATGTGACATATAATGTAAAAATGTCAGTTGGAAGAATACATATGGGCGTTGGGTACACTGCATCAAGGTAAAATGTTTTTTTTCGCTATAAACTGACCTGCGTGTACTTAGTACACCTACGCGTTAAGGGGTCACGAGAATGTCTTCGTACGTAACACTGCATTTTTTACATTTTTATGTACTTTCCGTATAGAAGTTTACGTGAAAATGGGTCAACATTTTGGCCGCATTGAACTGTGGATATTATTAATAGAAAATCCTCTGATTTGGGCAATATATTTTTTTCTAGTCTCTTGTTGAGATCATCACGAAACTTTTCGCTGTTTTTTCACGTCCTCTTTGGAATAACATAGAGTAAGTCTTACTGTAACAGTTACTGTGCTACCCTCCCCCCTCTCCTCCGGTTACTGTGCCCCTACATTATTTTTATGTACAGTAAATTACATAATCATTCAAATGAATGTATTGAATTATTAAATAAAACTTTAATTAACAATTAGCCTAATTCAACTGATAATGTAAATTATTAACACTTATATAATAGTAATAATAATTATTGAAATTATATGGTGACGATTTCGCGAGATTTTGCCACAAATCTTATTGAAAAGCTTAAGGAACACCGTGTAAATGAAGCTACAAAATAGAAAGAATAATACATCCCAAAACCAAAAAAATTTACTATGGGTCTGTAAAATTCGTGTAGATAACGGAAAAATGTACAATACGATCAATTTGTTGAAATTATTTTGTTAATTTGTAATAATCCAGTAGCTGAAACAAAATTTTCGTTCGTTTTTATTACTGTGTGCAGTAACTGGATCCATTTTTGCGTTATGCGTCGATTACGGAGCCCTCTAACGACAAGGTGAATCTGAACTCCTAACCTTACTTTTCTAAATACGACCTAGTGATTAGTAGCACATAGTCATCCGGGAGAGGGGGATGTGGGTATCCCCCTCCGAGGCCACGAGCCTGGCGTTGAAATGCCTGGCTTACTGAAAGACTGTCCAGTCTAAGGGTATAAATAACTACCTAACAACGACTAACAATAAGACGTGGACCTACGCATTAGGTTATCTTGTTTATTAGAATAATATTGTAAGCATTCAAACTTCTAAAATGTTCGAGAAGGAAATTTTACACAGTAATCAATACAAGTATTCGGTAACTGACACACAGTAACTGAATTTTCATATGCGTAAGGCGTAAGGGCACAGTAACTGACTACAAAAATAAATTATTTTATTTTCATTATTATCGTACATCAATTATAATACTCAATTAAAAAAAATTCTACTCTTATAAGAGACATCAAAATATAATTTAAAAATGTTCCGAAGAGCAAAACATAGGAAACAGCTGTTTAACTGACCAAAAAGTTTGAAGTTCGTCTTAATGGGCACAGTAACTAACACAATTACCCTAACTCTTCCTAAATTCAACCTATGCATTCAAAATAAGCTATATTAAAGTGTCCAATTCCAGCTTGAAACTTTAAAGTGTTAATAAGACCTCGTAAGACTATTCATCATTTCTTTATTTGTTCTAAAGACGAAAGGCTGGATGGCAGTGGCAGCGACTGCAACTCCGTCGTGCCGAAGAAGAGACGTCGCCGAAACAATGGTACAAGCGATCGTGATCACCAGGTGCCTTTCGAAGACTATCCAGCTTCGCCCAGGTCCTCGAGGTCATCTGCTTCCTCGAGATCGAGCTCCTTATTACAATTCGAGTCTTTGGAGAGGACTTGCGCCACCCTGTCGCCTTCCAGCTACAGTTTCGACTCGTTGGAGTATTCGAACCGATCGAACATTTCTCACCTAGAGAACACGTCTCCGGACAGTCTTGAGCAAGACTATGATAAGCTTGTGCCGAACGATTTCCCAAATGTGGATCACTTCTCGAGGATTAGGCCATATCGTAGTTTCGAGAGCTTGGACACCTGTCAGAAGAACGACGAGTTTGGGCCCAGCAGGCTGACCAATGGATTTGCACCTTTGTACCTGAAACGTAACTCGGACCTGTCGAGGATACGAAGGAACGGACATCGTCCAAGGTAATGGATGCTTTAATTTTGGTGATGTTTTTGTTCGTGGTAAAGTAAAATGTTTCAGTGGTTGGACGCTTGAGGCGAAGATTGCGGTTACGAATACTTTTTATACAGGGTGTTCGACAACTAGTGGGAAAAAATTTAAGGGGTGATTCTACGAGGTAAAATAAGACGAAAATCAAGAATAACGAAATTACGAAAAATGCTTCGTTTGTTAGTTATAAGCGTTTAAAAATTGACCCAAATCATGGCAATCCGCGCGCACAGAGTGTGAGCGGATCAGGGCTCATCAGGGGCGTACAGTCACTTTAAAGACTCAAGAACGTGCAGGAAAAGTCGGTAAAACAGCTGTTTACTTACCTCGTAGAAGATGTCGATAACTTGTCCCTGCGGTATTTGAGTCGAATCCACCTGTGTCGCATTAACTCTAATTAATCGATAAAATTCGCAATGTAAATATTTTACGAATATTATCGAGTAGAGAGGGTTTATTCCCCCTGTAGTTGTCACGTATCACAATTGTCCTGTCCATGAGTATCCATGAAATTAATCCGCACATGCACGTACACCACAAAAGTCCGCGAAAAGTGTCCACACACACTGAGCGATTGTCCCGACCGCGAAAAATGTTCATATACTGCGCGATTAATTACACCCGCGAGCGGTTCCTCCGTTGGGTTTAACACTCTATACGTTACACAAAACTAACACTCAAAATAATTAATTTATAACTATTTAAAACTAACTTTTAACCTACTCTAATTTATTTATAACATCTATTTATACTAATTTTTAACATGCAATAATTAATAAAATCTACAATATTTAATAAAACCTGCAATAATTAATAAAATCTACAATATTTAATGAAACCTACAATAATTAATAAAATCTACAATATTTAATAAAACCTACAATAATTAATAAAATCTAAAATACTTAATAGAACCTACAATAATTAGTAAAATCTACAATAATTAATATGCTAAGATGAAATTTGTTGCACCTGCATTACACTGCATGAAGAAACTACATAAAATAATATAAAGAAAATTGTTAAACACATACATTCGGTGTAATATGAACCGTTTCGAACATGGAGTTGGCATTCGATGTTGAAAGTTCTTTTTACAAGTTAATGTCAAAAGGGACAGCTGAAAACACAATGGGCAAGGTCTTCGTCGATGGCAGCAACACGTTGCAGGCAATCCGCGGGTGGTCGCACTGCAGAAGACAACAGACAGTCAGAAGTGGCTCCGAGTGGTGTATGAGAAAAAAATATAGATATTGCTCTAAGAATATACGAAAAGAAACGCGACCTCCAAGACACTTTCCTTCCCAAAAAACATTGCCCATGAAAGAGTGGGGATCGACCTATTACGCCACATCGATCCTAACGAGGGAGGATCAGTTCAACAATATCAGTTGTCCTTTCCGAACGGTGCCTTTGCATTCTACGAGCAAATAAAGTTCACATTCGGAAAACTAAGTTTTAGTTTATTTAGCGATTACGTAGTGATTATTTAGTAGTGTCGCGTAAGTCGTGGTTATAAATCGTGCAAGTTAATTATTGTAGGTTTTATTAAATATTGTAGACTTTATTAATTATTGTAGGTTTTAGTAAATATTGTAGATTTTATTAATTATTGTAGGTTTTATTAAATATTGTAGATTTTATTAATTATTCTAGGTTTTATTAAATATTCTAGATTTGATTAATTATTGCAGGTTTTATTAAATATTGTAGATTTTATTAATTATAGCGTGTTAAAAGTTAGTATAAATAGTTGTTATAAATTAATTATTGTAGGTTAAAAATTAGTGTTAAATAGTTATAAATTAATTATTTTGAGTGTTAGTTTTGTGTAACCTGTAGAGTGTTAAACCCATCGGAGGAATAGCTCGCGGGTCTACTTAATCGCGCAGTGTGTGAACATTTTTCGCGGTCGGGACAATCGCGCAGTGTGTGTGGACACTTTGGCGGACTTCTGTGGTGTACGTGCATGTGCGGATTAATTTCATGGATACTCGTGGACAGGACAAATGTGATACGTGACAACTAGTGGGGGCATTAACCATCTCTACTCGATAATATTCCTAAGAAGATATTTACATTTCTTGCGAATTTTATCGAGTAATCAGAATTAATGACATACAAGTGGATTCGACTCAAATACCGCGGGCACAAGTTATCGACATCTTCCACGAGGTAAGTAAACCGCTGTTTTACCGACTTTTCCTGCACGTTCTTGAGTCTTTAAAGTGACTGTACGCCCCTGATGAGCCCTGATCCGCTCACACTCCGTGCGCGCGGATTGCCATGATTTGGGTCTATTTTTAAACGCTTATAACTAACAAACGAAGCATTTTTCGCAATTTCGTTATTCTTGATTTTCGTCTTATTTTGCCTCAAAGAATCACCCCTTAATTTTTTTCCCAGTAGTTGTCGAACACCCTGTATATTAAAATAATACAGATTGGCAAAAAAGTACATTCAATCGATAGGGCAGAACTTTTTCTTCCGGACAAGTCGTTATAAGAAAGCGTTCACATGAAAAAAAGTATTAAAATTTATGAATATCTAAAAGAGTTCATTTGGTCGAGTGATTGGACGGAATTTACGGCATGTTCTAGTGATTAAATTTAGCTGTCCCACTGTTTGGGCATAACATTCAATAACTTATTCATAGATGATTTTTAATAGTAAGACAGGATACTTTTCTTTTATGTTGTAACAATTCGAATGAAAACGTAACAAATTTAATTTAATACAATAAATAAAAGAAACAAAATTATAAATAAATAAAATAATAAAAATTATGAACTAAATCTATAAATGTATTCGTAATAAATTAATAAATAAATAACACTACTGGAAAATTGCATTCTATTATTATGTATATGTTATATATTTGTTAAATGCTTTTAAACATTTATCTTTAAACATTTAGGAAATTGTATATTAACAACAAACATACTGCATTTAACTTTGGTTTATTATAAACGTTTTAGAGAAAATATATAGGTTAAATAAAACAAAATTAAACAAAGTTAAACAAAAATAACAAAATGAAAATTATTCACTGTTTTTGTTTTTGATTTTTTTAACACTTTTGCAACTTCCTTGGCAGCAAATTTTCGTTTTTTCTCTCTTGTAGTTTTTCTTTTTTAATACGCTCCTTTTTCCTCTTCTTCTTGAAAGTCTTATTGTTATAAAAAATTCCCGAAACAAAAGAAATAAAATAAAAAGGTGATTTTTAATGAATATTCAGTACGCGAATCGGTTAAGTTATGGTTGTGTAAAAATAATATATTTATGTATGAAATATGTAAAGAAAACTATAAGCTTCGAAAATTCAATATTGTTATTAATATAAAAAGCACAAAATGCTTATTGTAATATAACGAAAATAATGTTTTAAGTCATACACTAACTTTTTGCTCGATGCTGCTCGAGCGACTGGACAAGCGACCAACGACTACGCAATCAGCATTCTCATGTACCAGTAAATAAACTCGGTAATTTCGACATTAAAAGAAAAAGGTTTTATTCAAACAAAGGTGGTATCACTTTTGGAGACTTAAATAAGTTGAAGAAAGCCTTTACTTAATAGAAACACACGAATTATTAAATATTTACGAAGGTATTCATGTCGCCTCAAGTTCATGATTGCTAAATGATAATATTTTTTTTTAAATAGACATCGCTCTTTTGCGAACATGTTTATATGATTTATGATGAGAAATAACTAAGGATAATTATTTTCTATCCTGAACTTCGCTATTATTTTTTAAAAATTTAATATTAACAAAAATTCACGATAGTGTCCAATCACCAGGACGTGTCCAACCACTGGGACATTTACCTTATTACTTGCCCTGCTGGCAGTCATTGTCCTATCGTGGATTTATTAGAGTGTACAGCAGCTGTCATTTGTGATCTTTGACGAATGGTTGCGTTACGTCACCTTGTGGGATCTTAATTTTTGCGATAGAGATTTTTGAGATGAATAATTCGAATGAGTTCGTAGAAATTTGATTGTCGTAGCGTTAGATGTTTGTCATTCGCCGGTGAAACATTACCGCGAATGATATATGAGTTTCGGTGACCATCGAACAGTGGTCTTTAAATTCCCTTGGCAACGACTCTCGAAATCAAAGCTTGCTACATGACCCTCGATTTTTGGCCAAGTTATTATAATCACGATCCTGAATAGACCTCCTTGACTTTTACTTTTAATTTCGAGACGATCTGAAATTACACCCGCGGATTTCTCATGATTATTCTATTATGGCTATCCTCTTTTCGGTAGATCGGTTTGAAGCTTCTTATTGTTTGTATTGGCATTAGTAAAGCGCGTAGATACTTCAAGAAGTATTGGTCTAATTTTACTAAATTCCGAGACATTTTTAATTCGTTTTTAATCCCATTAAATTATTAAATATTTAAAACTGGTGCTTTATTGAGTCGCATCAGTATTCAGCTTCATAGATATTTTTAACTGTCAAAAATAAACGTTTTAGAGTTTCGTTTTCGAGTCTCTTTAATGGACATATTACATGTATTGGATAGAACCATAAAAAAATAAATTATACTAATTTTCAAGTTTAGGTTGGCCAAATATTTTAGCGAGGTTAATCATACATTTATCTTCACACTTATTAATTCATATCGATACTACGGTACTTCTGAATGTGTAGTGTATACCTATACATTTTATTTGAAGACTAAGATCAAAATTCGAAAATTGTGCTTCAGTTGTAATGAAACATTTGTCAAGGCATACTAAGGAAACCTTTTATCGTTTTCCGTGGCCAACCTTATACAGGGTGTCTCACCAAAACCCGAATATTTAGGTACATATTTCCTTTGCTTTTGTTGATACGATAAATATTTAAAACATAATTTGAATCGTTTGGAAGGAGAAAGCCCACAGAAAACAAATTTCTTTGCAGGAAAACACATATTTTTTCTACTACATCTTGTAGTGAGCGTTAAAACGCATTCAAGTAGGTCTGAGAGATTCTTGAGGAGACCAGGAACACCAAAAATGTGATCGAATTCTAAGACAATATTGGGATGCTATGTAAACTTACTTTTTATGTTATAAATGTTTAAAGTGTTGACTATCAGCGACGATACACTTTCCCAAATGAGCACTCGCAGATTGCGATACTAATTCTGTACGATTCTTCGTATTATCTAGAGTTGTAGGTTGTAAGCTGTAAGCGTCTTCTTTTGACGTTCTCCAAAGATAACATTCTAATGGCGTCAGATCCAGTGAACGCTCTGGTCATGATATACGTTCATTACGTTCAATCCAACGAGTTGCAACTTT